AGGTTCGATTCTGGTCAAGGGCACATGCCCGAGTTGTGGACTCAATCTCGGGTGGGGGCAGCTGATCCATGATTCTCTTTCATCATTGATGTTTCTCTCCCTTTCTCTCTGAAATCAATAAAAATATATTTTAAAATACATATATAATTGAAGCTGGAAAATAGGGTAAATGTAAGACAGTCAGCTACAAATCTAACCTATTTTATTGGATGAATGTTTTCTAGGCAGCTAATGAAATTATGAGCCCAATTGTGGCATCTACAATATAAGTATCTTTATAGACCAAAAGTAACATTTACAAAATTGATTGGGGGTTTTTTTGGTTTGTTTACATATTTACTCTTAGTGCAAATGTGTAAAATATTGCCGTGTTTTTGCTTTTTGGCTGAGCATTGATTTTAATTGATAGATAATGTACACCATAACATGAATAATTAATTCATAACTGTACATACAGTTCAGTAAATAGTGACACTAAAATTATTTCCCATCCTCCCTATGCTGTTGTGATAATAGTAGTGGTAGTGGTCTTAATATAAGTAGTTATATAAAACTCTTATGTAGCATTTACGGTGTGCCAAGCAAAATAAGTGCTTTACATATATTAACTCATTTAACCCACATAACAACCCTATGAGGTAGATACTATCATCCTCATTTTACTGATGAGGGATTGAATCACAGAGAGGTTAGTAAGTGACCACTCCCAAGTACAAATAACTAGTAAGTGGCAGGGCTAGGAATTGATCTGAGGCAGTCTGGCGCCAGGGTCTTTCCTTCTAACTATTTTACTGTACTGTACTTATATGACACCCATATAAGTAAAGGGAAATGTGAGATAAAAAATGCTTTTAACATCATTGTGGGCTCTATGGAACTTATTATTTGTTCATTCAGTGCTCCCTGTAGAATCAGTGATTACAGAGAGAACATTTAATTTCAAAGCATTCATCCCTCCTTTCAAACTAGTATTTTCAGATTTGTTCTCCATCTGAGAACTTGCATTTAGAAAAAGTACACTTGAACTTTTTAGTTTAATTGGCAGATCAAGAGCTTGCAGATGGGATATATTGCCTTTCAGTATTTATTTATTTATTTAAAAATATGTATTGATTACAGAGGAAGGGAGAGGGAGAGAAAGATAGAAATGTCAATGATGAGAGAGAATCATTAATCGACTGCCTCCTACTGGGGATTGAGCCCGCAACCTGGGCATGTACCCTGACTGGGAATGGAAATGTGACCTCCTGGGTTATGCATGGGTCAGTGCTCAACCACTGAGCCACACTTGCTGGGCTTGCCTTTGAGTATTTAGACTATTATATAAGAACTCTTATTGTAGCATTTATGGTGTGCCAAGCAGTAATTTGGATATCAC